TTTTTTTATTATTTAATTATTTTATAAATTTTTTAATATAATCTTAGCTATTAATTTGTCCAATTATGCTTGGATTTTTTAATCCAAAGCTTTAAAAACATATTTTAATTAATTTTTAAAAGATAGTTATAACGTTTTCGCATTTTTTAAAATGCTAAATATAAATAAGCGTAAAGTTTTACTTTTTTTCATATCCAAAAACATGAATTTCTTTCGTTTTAAATCTTATAACATTTAACTTAACATCTTTTTAAATCTTTTAATAAATTTTTTGCAAATGTAGGTAAAATTTCTTTATTAAATATTATTTTAATTATTATCGGTAAATTTTAATAGTCATTATTATGTAATGTGTTATAAATAAGTTATCCAAACGGTTATAATGAGTTATTTTTCACGTGACGCGGTTAATTCTTATAATTTATCGATAAATATAAATACATTTATATATATAACATATTTATTTAATAAAATGATTTCGGCTTAATATGGGTTATTTTTCTTAAAGTTAAAATATTTAATTATTAAAAAATCGATGGTTTTATAGATGTTTATATTATTGTTCATGTTATTATTGCTTTAATTAAAGTACGAGAAAAATATCGTAAATAATTAAGCGATAATGTCGAATATATTCTAAGTTATAAGGTTTTGTGAAAATGTTAAAACAAGATAATTTACGGTATTAAATGAAGGTGTGAGTGGTGGTATAAGATTTACTGGTGGTGGAGTTGAATTTATTAAAGCAAAAAAGTTCATAAAAGTTAAAGCTAAAGTGTCAATAAGCCTTAAAGTTTTAAAAGTTAAATTAAAAAGTATTTAGTTTTTTTTAAGGTATAATATAAAATGGCCAACTTTAATTAACTATGAAAAATCAGTAAAGTGAAAACTTTAATGCTTAAAATTAAAATATGTGGTTATTTATTAATTGTTTTATATTAATTGTTAAGATATTAAAGGTAAAAATCTAACAATTATAATTAAATCATTAATATATGCTTATGAAAGTGCTGGTTGTTTCGGCAATAAATCCAACAAATTAGATGTAACATTTAATATTAAAAGTAATCTTACTCCTAACTTTAAAAAGCTTAATTATAAGGAAAGCTCCTAATTTATTAACGTAAATAACATATATACACTTAATGATAAATTATTTCGGAAAAATAAATATTTTAAAAATATAAATTTTAAAAGTTATATTATTTATTATAAAATTTCTAAATCACTATTACCTTTATAACAAGACACATTTAGTTATAAATATCTTTCTTAAAAAATTAATAATTTTATAAGCTTAAGTTTCAATGATATAAATATAAAAAAGGATTAATTGACAATATTTATTAGGGAAAATTTTAAATTAAAGTTTAAAAAATTTTTTTACATTCTATACTTAAAATATAACTGCTACTAATACTTCAAGAAAATATTTTTAAATTTCATTTTAAATTTTACCTAAATAATTAGATAATTTATGATGTTAATTAAAGTAAAAAGGTTTAAGTTTATTAAAAAAAAAAAATTTAATGAAAGTAATATCATAAAGCTTTATAACTTTAATATTTAAGTAATCGGTTATAAAAAACTTAATAAATTGTTTTGTAAAAAGTTGTATGTTTAATAAAAATGTAAACATTTATAAAGTTTATTAATAAATAAAATTATTATTTATATAATTAAATGTTTACGTAATAATTTTCTAAAATAATAGTTAATTATTTATACAATTACTTAAGGAGTAAAATAAAGGTATATAATTTACCTTAAAAAAAACAAAAATAAAATATAAATGATTTCTTTTTTTAAAAGAAAAATAAAAATAAAATTTTAAGCTTTTAACTTTTAAAAAAAAAAGTAAAGTTATTAATATAAGATTAAATTTAGTTATAATTAAAAAGTTATTATAAATATTCAAAATTTAATTAAGTTAAAAATTTAAATGAATGCTTAAAGCATTCATTAAAGTAGATCCTTAGATATATGTGGGTCTGTCTATATGTGGGTCACGTGTTGACACGGCGGCTCAGAAGCTCATGCCGAATTCGGCTTGCCCGCAGCAAATGTTGAGCTCCTCATTGGCCAATCCTTTCAACTGGAATTCGTAGCTTCTCTGCCCCGCAAAGTGGCTCGTTTATGCCGCGACAAAGCGAACGCATACATCATTATCATCGGAGTTCGAAGGCCGATGAAGCTTCGTGAATTGGATTCTACCAAATGATAAGAAGTAGCTATACCTCGCGCATTTCTTTGCGGTAATTATTCATAAAACTATATCGACGTCTCCAGATATCCTTCTTATTACGACCCACATAGCTATTTCGAACGGAGTTCATCGATATCCTCTGTTATTAGTTAATATTCTATATAGCAGCAATTGGCCTTCTCTTCGAATCCCCATCTCTAACATGGCGAGTGCACCCAGGAGCTATGGCCTTGCAAGGGCATTACAAAGCTCGACTCTATCTTCAAAGGTTTGCTCAAGATGCTTTCCCGCTGTCCGATCTTTAAAGAATGCAAGGGCGTTAAGCACGACAAGCGCTCGGATGATGGCGTTAGCCACATTCAAGATACCAAAGGTTACAAACGAGCCTAATGTAGGTTCAAACCAATCATGCGGAGTCATAACTTTCGAGCCGGGCCGCTGACAGGGTATAGCATCACTATGCGAAGGGCTCAGCCCAAAGAGAAGGTCTCCTTTCTGCAGTCACCGCCCAACGGAGCAGGGGTACGATAGAAATCCCGCTTGTGATAGGAGGCAAAGAGGTACTTACCATAACCATATCCATGACAATTGTCTCTCACGCTCACATCTTCTCCCATTTGACAGGTCAAGTCGTCACAAATAGCTACGCAGTACAACCCGTCCGACCACGCCACCGCTGTAGCCCACTATTCTGTTGCCAGCCCGTCCGATGTCAACAACGCCATCGAGGCAGCATTAGCCGCGAAGCCGGCCTGGGAGTCGCTCCCTTTCGCTGACAGGGCCGCCGTCTTCCTCAAGGCTGCTGATCTCGTGTCTACGAAGTACCGATATGAGATTATGGCCACTACCATGCTCGGCCAGGGTAAGAACGCGTGGCAAGCCGAGATCGATGCCGCAGCAGAGCTATGCGACTTCCTCCGATTCAACGTCCAATACGCCGAGGAACTATATGCTCAACAGCCCGCCCATAACTCGCCAGGCCTATGGAACCGAACTGAATACCGACCGCTCGAAGGTTTCGTGTATGCTGTCAGCCCCTTTAACTTCACCGCCATCGGAGGTAACCTTGCTGGAACCCCTGCACTGCTAGGGAATGTTGTGATTTGGAAGCCTTCTGACTCTGCTGTTACTGCTGGTCACTTGCTCCACAAGATCCTGCTCGAGGCGGGCCTGCCCGAGAATGTGATTCAGTTTGTGCCTGGAAACCCCGAAGAGGTAACCAAGACAGTACTTGCGCACAAGGAGTTCGCTGCGCTCCACTACACTGGTAGCACGGCAGTATTCCGCAAGTTGTACGGTCAGATCGGCCAAGGTATCGCCGAAGGACGATATCTGGGCTACCCACGCATCGTCGGCGAGACCGGCGGCAAGAATTTCCATCTAATCCACCAATCTGCCGATATCCAGAACGCCGTGGTACATACCATCCGCGGCGCCTTCGAGTACTCGGGACAGAAGTGCAGCGCCACGAGCAGGGTGTATGTGGCGAAGTCGATCTGGCCTGAGTTCAAAGAGAAGCTAGTCAAAGAGACCAGCGCGCTCAAAGTCGGTGCGCCGTGGGAACCGGAGAACTTTATCGGCCCCGTCATCCACGAGCCTAGCTTCAACAAGTTGAAGACCGTCATCGACGACGCCAAGGACGACTCCGAGCTCGAGCTTCTGGTGGGTGGCAAGTACGACGGCTCCAAGGGCTACTTCATCCACCCCACCATCTACCAGACCACAAACCCCGCACACAAGTTGTTGTCGACGGAGCTGTTCGGCCCTATCCTGACGGTCTACGTGTACGATGACGCGGCTGAGAACGCGTTCGCGGACGTCTGCAAGCTAGTGGACAGCACCAGCGAGTACGGACTCACCGGCGGCGTATTTGCTTCGGATCGCATGGCTATCCGGGAGGCCGAGGATGCGCTGCGCAACGCCGCGGGTAACTTCTACGTCAACTGCAAGAGCACGGGCGCCGTCGTTGGCCAGCAGCCGTTCGGAGGTGCACGAGCCAGCGGAACCAACGACAAGGCGGGTAGCGTCAACATCATCAGCCGGTTCGTGAGCTTGAGGAGCATCAAGGAGGAGTTCTTGCCGAGTGAGACGGTGGCGTATCCTAGTAACGAGGTATGAGTCCGATAGTCTTCTAAGATATGGAAGGGCTCGAAGATAAAAGGATAAGTAAAAATAGGGGAGATACCCGCAAATAGATAGGAAATCTAGGCTATGGTATAAGAGTGGTTGCACGATACCGGTATACGGTTTGCTCGATACTACTAGCCAGGTGCTTACTAGGTAAGTATTGCATAAAATGGAAAAGGGCACGTCAGACGGCACGCAGAATGAGATCTACGATATAAGAAATATAATACCATCTATTTCTGTCTTTCATAGGTATTGATCTTAATGATGTATGAGTATGGGGTGGAATATTGAAAAGGGGTTGACGCCTTGCCAAGACTAGATGCAGAAAGATGTAGCAACCAATATCCCACGCCGCTACATACTATGTAGGTTATTCCTACCTCTATTAGCTATCGAGCTTATTGGTGACTGGGCGGCATTGTGTTTACTTTATAATTGTCATAAAGACATGGGTAACGAGATTGTCGTAGGGCATTTCCTTACGTGAAGTATCAGGTAGGGAGGAGGATTGACTGAGCAGAAAGAAGAGATGAGAAAAGTAACATGAATATTTCTTTGGATATTAATGTGATCAAGAGACAAATAGTTTAAGAGTACGAATGACATCGACATTAAAGGGGTTGCGTTCTCAACAGCAAGTAAAAACGAAAAGCAAAAAATTGACCACCATCACGGGGGTTCGAACCCCGGTCTCCGGGGAATTCAACTTTGCCGTTTGTTTGAAAACCCGATATCCTAAACCGCTGGACGATGATGGTTTGTTTCTGATTGTTGAGTTACTGCCCTACTATTAGCGTTTATATGGCGTATCGGTCGATGTTTGCAGTTGCCAGTTGGCAGTGCATCCTCAACTGCGGGAAGGTGCATTCCACAATTGGAAGTCAATTAATTGGATATTGAATTCCTCTGAGTTCCTATCCAAGAGATTTCTACGTCATATGAACGCTATATGATCTGAGGAGGTAGGTACATGTGGTAGGTAGGTAATCGCTGTCATTGTATCCTCAAGTGCTATATATTTCCACGTGCTGACTACAACCCCTGAGTCCCGAGATGTCCGTAAGTTATCACATCGCGAAAAGCCTTATTTTAACATTAATAATACGAATTCGGAGATCAATCAAGTAGGTTTGCTTTAAGCAGGACCATAGAGAATATTAATACTATTTCATGAAAATCCAACCTCCTCCTCCTCCCCCTTTCCAGGCCGAATCCGGGAGGAATTTGGAGTTAAAGGGTTACCGAGTGCTATACCGTTGGTTCTACGAAAACAGGGGGTACTCGAAAGCGTATCTATGTCCGATTACTTAAGCAGTCACAACACCAATTAGGTATCACGAAATGGAGGAGCTACGTTTCACTCTTTCGCGGTCACTAGACCATGTTAAGACTTGGTGTATGAGTATAACATGAAGTCCAAGTTACGCCTGCACTCGAGAAGGACGTGGAACTGTATAGCCAACGTTTCAACCGCAACTTCCGCGTAAACTAACTAGAACGTAAGTAGGAGGTGATGCTGTCGTTGATGGATTAGGCCAACAACAATAAAGGAGTTGACGTTATGATTAGCAGGGGGAAACGCGGGCAGAAATGTCATAACAAGAATGGCTTACGAGCTATGACGCATAAACTCTTAATGCCGAGTCGAATTCGACGATTGCCAAGATTCAATCTAAGAAGCCTTCGTTTTGAGTTACGGGAATTCATAGTACATACACATTGCACTATCTGGCGGGTCGCCGCTCAATAGGCGAGATATCCAAATGGACCCATACTATCCGGCCATTCAAATCCAGCATGAACGTCACATCGTCTAGAGCACAGAGAGTAAATGTTCCGAGTCCTTGTCGATTCCGTGAGTAACCGTTGTCCGGCCCGTCCGGGTCCGAAGTGGAGAATCAGGGAACACCGGCGCAGGCCGGGGCGGGATGAGTCAGCAGGATATTGGGATGGGAGTAAAAGGAGGGAGTGTATCTCTACCGATCCGCTACGCCATTATATGATGGTTAATATAACGTGGAGTCACATCATTACTTCTCTGTTTTTAAAAGGACTGAGTTTACTATTACTACAAGATCGGACTCTTGAATGATCTTGTAATTCACCATCAAGATATTTACGATCATTGTCTACCTTCATTAGAACCGATCATGTGAGATACTGGCGTGGTATGCATCAGCGCCAGGATCTCGTGGCTTGATGGGGATTGCAATGTGACCGTGGTATAATGTGACCTAATAATGCATGATGCTTATCGCGAGAAATCCAACTCTGCATCGGCAATTTATTTCTGTAATGGCACATAATCTTGTGGCTCCATAACTTGATTGGTTGAGCTGCCTCGTACCTTGTGATAGGAGTATCCTAGGGATTCAGCGTAACAATGATATGAATTATATAGGCCCTATAGGGTCTGAGTGCGAATTTATCCGCTACTAGTAGCTACAGTACTAGAGTACTAGGGAATCGTGAGAGGACTATCAATGGCTTTCCTGAGCGGAAACAAGGCGATAGTACCTACCTAGTGAAGGATGTCAACCAAATTCACATATTCAGGAGGTAGCTTTTTCTTGGGTTGGGTTGACTCTCGTTTCGATCGTAGATTCTAGATGTGTTGAAAGGACAACACCGAAAATATTCCAACTAAATTACATGGATTCCATGATCTACGAATTAACAGCTTGAAGCATGTAGATCCAAAGCCAACGGTGACCGTAAGCCGGGTTATTATGAACACCTTGGTGGGTATACTGAGTCGAGACATTCGCACCTTATTTCATGCCAACAAGTTATCTTGGTACGTCCTCATCCTCTTACGTCGCGTCTCTGTATGCGATCTATGATCTGCAATGAAAGATGTCAGGTCGTCTGCCGAAGCTTCATTCAAGCCGGACGCGTGTCTCCCGCAGTATGGTATCTCAATTCTGTGATGATTTGCTGTGGCCATTTACACGATTTACGCGGGTATTTATTGGACACAACTGTTATTGGTCGCGTAAATGAAAATTGTCCTAATGCGGTATCTGCTATAAGTGCCGTGCGGAGGTGCAGGGTTCAAACCCAGGTCGATTTGATTGAGCCGCCATGGGAGATGGGCCTATATATACCACTGGAAAAGTCCACAAATTTCAGCTTTGCTGGAGATAGTCGTTTGATAGCTCATGCTCAGCTCCAATTCTGTCCTAAGATAGCTGCTCAACATGCGGACGACCTGGAGCGCTCTTCTGCTGCCCTCTCTCCTCGCTGGAGTCAGGGGGGCGGCAGTGAAGGTGCCTCGCACTGAATAGTAGGTTATGTTCTTAGCGGTCAGTCCCTTGCTTTGTCTAGGCTAATCAACATAACTCTCTCAGCACTCGCAACCCTAACTATCCCCTCGATGTTGTCGACAAACTGGAGGAGGCTACTATGCCCAAGGTCGAGGAATGGCTATCTAAGAAGATTTCTGCGGGTGCCAACAATAACTGTACGCTGGAAAATGCTGTTATACGACGAGAGTGGTTCGTATTCCATCTTTATGAAGCTACTGGCAGCATTTCATAATACTAACATCGTAACAGGAGCGATCTCCCCGAAACAGAGAGACAGGAGTATGTCGCTGCTATCAAGTGCTTGATGAAGTTGCCGCCAAAGTCGGATAAAGAAAGGTTCCCAGGAGCCATGAGCCGATATGATGATTTCGTCGCGTACCATATGACACACGCCATGCAACTCCATGACAACTTCCACTTGTTTGGTGCTCACAAATACTATGTGTGGCTATTCGAGGAAGCTCTCCGTAACGAGTGTGGGTATACGGGTTACCAGCCTGTACGTTAACGTCATCACTCTCAATCGTTGAATATTGTCGCTGACCAAGGGGTAGTATATGAACTACGACCGCTACTCGGAGGACCCACTTAACTCTCCCTTGCTCAATGGCAACGCGTCTAGCCTGGGAGGTAACGGTGAACCAGATCCCGCATACAAGGGTATCCCGCAGTACGGACGGACTCCCAACATCATCAAGACTGGTGGTGGCGGTGGATGTGTTACCGAAGGACCTTTCTCAGAGTCCGTAATCCCATCTACTATCTGCATCAAAGCACGTATAGATGACTGATAAAATTACAGTATGGTCGTCAACCTCGGGCCGACCTCTATGTCAACGGCCCCTAGTACCGTTAAGAAGAACCCAAGGTCGGACGGCACGGGTGCAAACCCGCGTTGCTTACGTCGCGACGTGAACCGTAACGCAGCTATGGGAGCCACCGCCGATCGCATGTTTACTCTAATCAATGACCACCCGGACATGGACGGGTTTTACAACACGCTGCTTGGGACACCGGCGCCCAAGAATGACCCGTATCCTTGGGGAGTGAGTTTTACACTGACAAGCCATTGAGGTGCAATAAAGCCCATGCTAACTCCCTCTCTTTAGATCCACACGGCTGGCCATTACATCGCCGCTGTTGACCCTGGTGGGGACCCGATGACCTCGCCCGGTGACCCGCTCTTCTACTTCCACCACACCGCACTGGACCGTCTATGGTGGATCTGGCAAATGCAGGACCCGGAGAACCGCCTCCACTCCATCCCATCTGGAAACATGTCGATGCCCATGAAGCGAGCGGTGGACCCCCACGATGTTATGGTAGACATGGAATGGCTTGGACCTCCCATCAAGCTTCTTGAGACACACGACCAGCTCGGTGGAAATGGTGGTGCTTTCTGTTACATCTATGTTTAGTTCCAGAAAAGGGAATGTAACGGGGGTGGAATGTTAGTACACCAATGACTGAGTCTGTCGCTTTGATCGTTACAATAGTTGCGTATACGAATCGATTACATGAAGCCCAGTTGATTGTTTCCAAGCCTCTTTTATTCTACCTTATTAGTTGTAATGTCCTAGTCAGATAGGCGGTACCGTAAAAACGGTCGACATAGATCGGCCCCGGAAGTAATACATGACGTTTGACCGTATCTAATGCGATACGCGCTTGATAGTTCCCGTAAAAAGGCCAAATCTACAGCTTTGTGTGATTATGTACCTCTATGTAAGTAGGTAGGTACAAGGTAGGTACTTACATAGATGCCTACATAACAGTCATTCTTAGCCAAGGCCCTCGCCAACGCAACTGGCGAAGGCAAGTTCTTGAGATCGGTACTGGAACGGGAGGGACAACCCGATATATCGTCAACTATCTTAGGAATGTCGGCGTCGACCTCGAGTAGGCTTTCGCCGACGCCAGCGCCTCGCTTGTCAGGCTGCGTCGAAGTAATTCAACACTACGGAGGGCATGGTGTTCGACGTCCTAGAGGTCGAGAAACCGCCTAACCTAAGCCCAAGTACGAAGTGCATTCCGCTGTATTGTTGCGAGCAATTGCATCCACGCTACAAGAAATCTCGACGTGACGCTCAGGCACACTCGACAGATGCTGCGTGACGACGGGCCGTTATCTCTGATTGAAATCACTAAAGGCATCGATGGAGACTGGTGTTTACAAGAAAGTTGGAGACCTTGAGGTCTACGCCGACATGTATTACCCTGTGGAGGGTGAAGTGTTAGTAAATAGAAAAATGCTCGTTGGTACGTGATGAATCCACATGTTTCCAATCGACCACTGTCAATGTAGGTAGCTTTGATGATTCATGGAGGCAGCTATATGCCATTTAGTAGAAAGGATGTCAGATCGGCTTAAACTTGCCTTTTATTTGGCAAGGACTTCTTGCCGGTCAGCTTAGATTATCGGCTTTGTCCTGAGGTCCCCCTAGCGGAGG